ACAAATTTTTTTCATTTTTTGTTTACCTCTCCGCCTCTCGTTCCACATTCCTGCCAGAATCGGTGGTTTTAAATCAGGAGGGAGCGTCGGCGCACAAAGCGACCAGCAGGATTTCACAGGTGTCTTTGTGGGAAATCCCAGTGGCCTGCAGGAAGCACGGCGACAATCAGAGGGTTCAGAGGTCAAACAGYTTGTGGATTTAAAAGATCATCAGCCAGGGTCACGCAGAGAAACCTCCTCCCGCCGCTCTCCGTCATGTTTTACATGTTGAGTTGTGAGGAGGAAGGTCATGAAGGAGAGCTGACCATTGTCCTGCTGACCTCAGGTCAGATCTTTTAGTTCTGACCCAGAACAGGCTGAGGGTTGTCATTAAATCCACATTACATGCTGTTTGTTGCCCAGAATACAAAGCAAAGTGTTTCCTGATGCTAAGCAGACGGTTCAGTGAATTATTGATCATTGTTATCTTTATTATTATGCTATTTATATATAAAAGCAAATTATAAAACCATATTTTTCTCATAGACTTGAAGCAACATGTCTTTCTCCAGTAGAAAGAAATGATCAAAGTTACACATTTAAAATTTTTATTTGAATGTATTCCTTTGTTTCCATTTAAATTAGTTTTCTTTTGCAGCGAGACATAAATGTTAAGTTTAACTGCAAATATATTTACCAAACTTTTCTCTATTTTCCTGACCTTTTAAAAGGATTTCACTTGAATCACTCAGAGATGAATTGAGTTTTTATCATAAAACAATAAAACACTGAAAATGCATRAACTTTTTCTGATTTGATGCATTTGAAAAGTAAATAAAAACAGTTCAGAACTGTTTATTACTCTCATTTAAATTAYAGTTTTTAAGTACAGTTTTAAATGTCATAAATAAAAAGTAAATGCTTAACAAATTAGTTAAGGATGGAATGTGAAAGTTTTAAAAAACTATATTTATATTAAGAAATTCCTTAATGATCCAACACCACAAAATAACCTGCTTTTTAAATCAAACCTCCTTGTGTTTTTCATGCCTTTATCTTTATTTAACAGGAGCACAAACAGCAACAACAATGACATTAAATTAAGAAAATATAAAAACAAGTAAAAACTCCAGATGTTAGACTTAAACTCTTCAAAGAGGAAGATGAAGTTTGTTATTTATTCTGTTTGTGATGTGAAAAAAAAAATACAAAAATTGAAAAAAATGGATTTGAAAATGAATAGGAGAGGAAAAACTAGCAATAAAGATAAAATCTTGTTTTAACCTGACAGCAAAAAAATAAAGAACTCCAATTAAAAAGCCACAACTTTTTAAACTGAACATTTTTAAATCCCTTTTAATCATGCAACTTATTTAAGCAATAATCGTCCGGAGTAAAATAAATAAATAAATAAATAAAAATAAAAAGAGTTTGCACCTTTTAAATGTTCCCTCTTTCTGAATATTAACTAACAAGGTTTTCTCTCAACTTTGTATTTACTGCTAAGTACAAAAAACTGAACTAAAGAGAAAAGAATGAAGAGCAAAACTGGTGTTGTGAGTTAAATCCAGTGCCTTATTTAAAATAACGTCACCATCAGGCTTTATGTTAAAAAAGACAAATTACATCTGACAACATTCCCTTTCCTCTCTTGTCTGACCGTGCATAAATTTTCTGTTCGGGTTTTGTTCGGTGCCAAGTCAGACAGGATTCCTCCGGAGACGTTTTGTCTTCATCAGCTCAACATGCAGATGAGGATTTGCAGTTGAACTTGAACCCAGTCCCCTCATGCGCCTGATTTCATGGTCCCAGCCCCTGATCTCCCCTCCACAACCGTGCTTGTCTTTGTGAAGCTGTCTTCCTTGACTTTCTGCATCCCCCCGTCTGGCCCTCTGCAGCCTCTTTTCCAACGCTGGCCCTCCTCCCCTTCTGCAGCCATTCTTTTACTTCTAGGGCTGGGGAAAGGGTCGGGGTGGGGGGCTCCTGTGCAATACAGAATGCTAATCAGGCCCTCGGCGGCACTTCCCACGATTTTCCTCCCAGACATGGGCTTTTGTTTTGTTATTGATTCCATCGTAATCAGACAGATCCTGCAACTTTCCTGCTGTCAGGAGCTGGATCCCTGACTGTTCACATGGTGCTTTCATTCATTTATTCATTCATTCATCCACAATTTATAACTGACTTCAAAGTCAGTGTCTGCACTCTGTGAAGTAATTATTCACCACAAACTGTATGGGGCATTTATATGCTCAATGTAGTGGTGACATCTTTTACATATTTGGCCATTTTGAATATTTTAAATCACAAACAATGTAAATTATCTTTACATAAACTTATTAAAATAGAGGTAGGTTCTAATCACTCTTTAATTAGACTTCATGGAGCTAATTTAAACCCGATTAATTGTTTTAATCAATAAGATGTCTGTGTAGCATTGCTCACAAAAGAGTTCAAATCTTCAGACATCGGGTTCTTGGGGTAGATTATGAACAAATAATATCTTACTTGTTTTAGACAGATGTTTGAATGTTCTCAGTTTTGAGAAATAAAATTTAAGTACCTTAAACTGACAAGCTAATGGTTAGCACGAGAACTGCTGCCGTCTAAAATTAACTCAGATCTCAAAAAATCGTTGCGATTATTTTTTGAACCTTTACACTGCTGTCAGGTTTGCATTGCTGAGCAGGAATATTGTAGCACTTCTGCTGGAGGGGCCACGGTCTGCACCAGAAGTGCTACAGCCAACTGCTGCTGCGAAAAATGTCAAAGGTTTATACAGTAATTCTAGCATGAACATTTATGACGTGTTTTAGACTGGAGCTGTTTAAAACTAGCCATTAGCTCCTCCATCTGATAAGTATTAAATTTAAATAAACATTTGATGTTTGTGTTACAAAGGATAAAGCTCAAATAAAAGGTTGAGTTTTTAATTTATTTAAAAACAAAAAGCTGACGAGGCAGCAGAAACKTGGATGAACTGAGGATAAATGATCCCATGGAACCACAAACATAACGCACTGGTGAACTGAGTAGTGACTGGGACTGATGAGAAGATTAGCTGCAGCTGTGGTTAATGAAACTGGGAGTGTAACTGGACATGGCATGCTGACTGAGGGAGCYAATGAGAAATAGCACTGAGAGTGGTGGGGAAAAAAACAAATAGGAAATAAACCTCAAAACAAAAAAATTAACTAAATCAATTATACCTTTATTTCTGTATTTCTGTACCTGCTATTTAGAGCCTGTTTTTCAAACCAATTTCCTTTTAGGATCTCTCTCCAACAGGTAAGATATTTATTGTTCATAACCTKTCCACAGAAYCCTGCTTCTAATGATCTGAGCTATCGCTTTAATAAAATCAACAAGTCCCTCTGATTGATAACGATTTTCACATTAAACCTGCTGCTTTCTTTCAGATTAGACATATATGAACATGCAGTAAAACTGGTGCTGAAGTCTCTTCAGGATCATGTCCTACAGTCGGAGTTCTCGAGAGAAATAATTAAAATGACATTTGCCACCTCTCAGCGATTTAGTGCCTTTTAATTTAAATGCAGCCATTAATTAAGGTATAGAATCAGAAGCTACTAAAGGCAGGTGGACGTTAAATGTCAGCTGCTTAAAGACGTGTGGTGGCAGTGACTGACAGACAAATTCCTCCTTTTGTTTTATTACACCTATTACAATTTCTAATTATTGATTGATTGATTGATTAGTTTGTTCAATAGACTCACGGTAATTATGTACTTTATGTATTTCTTATAAGGATCAGTTCCAAAAATGCACAAATAAAATATATTTTCAGCAAATATAAACAAATGTTTCAATATTTAACCCATAACTGAAGTGGAATGCACAGATTRTTGTTCTGGAATGTTAAAATTAGCACAACTTTTTAAAATTCTTTTTCTCAGGGAAATCCTGAATCTTTTTGGACATCAGTAATTTTTCAGKATTTATTTTAACATGCTAGATTACCAATGAAAATTCAAATTTTGTTGTAAAAAAACAGTATTTAAAAAGTCCTAAAGTTATGATTTGCTCTTTTTTGTTTCAGGTCAGTGATTTTAGAAAAAAATATATAATTGATATATTTTTTGTTTCATTTTATTTGACAAACACATGATAAAATATGTCAAAAAAATTCAAACATTTACTTGTTTTCATTTAAAAATATTTCAAACATTCAGATTAACGTCAAAGTCATCGTTCTGTCCTGTAAACAATGAAAATCTGCTTTTCGTAATTGTCTAATGTTGTGAACATCTTGTTCTTTTGTTTGTGATGCTCACAATGACCTTTGACCTCAGAGTGTTTGTGAACAGAGGATTTCCAGATGTTTCCTTTGCAGCAGCTGCATCTCTCTGCTGCAAACGCAATATTTTACATCTGATGCTCAGATTTTCCAGATTATTCACTGTAAACACTCATTAGTGCTTCGAGTTTTGCACGCTAGAGAACACAATGTGTATTTACAGCTGGACTGTTTCCTTCTCCGGGTGTTTTTAATAATATCATTTTAGATTTTATTAATTTTTTTTATGTATTGTAGATCAGCTGCATCTATGCAGTTGTAATGTGAATTTTAGAAACATTAGATTAGTAAATTAGTGCATGCAGAAAGATTTATTTGCAAACAGAAATCTGTTTATTTCAGCATTTAGCTGCTATATTTTTCACGATGTTATGACAGTTTGTCAAGTTATCACATAAAATAATCCATATGTGTTTTTTGACGTGACTTCTCTGTTATTTTAATCAAATATACACATATTAAATTTGTTTTTTTCTTTTTTAGAAAAGTATGTTTCCATCTTGAGTCCAACTTTAGAGGCTGGAGGACTGGTGATGAAATAAAACAACTTTTCTTCAGYTTCATCTCTCATCCAGGATTATTACTTTTTATTGTAATTTTAGTTTTCACGTTTAATCCTTCTTGCTGTTTGTCAGGTTCAGGGATTAAAAATGACCTRGTTAGTGGTTATGTCTTGGTTTGAAAAAAGAAAAATCACAACGTCTTACCATATATACCATTTATTCTTTTTTTTTTTTTACAATTAAAAATACTTTTTGACAAGTTTCACAATTTAAGTCTCATTTTCAAACAAGCATGAAAAGAAATGTCAAAAGTACACAGACAGTTTCACAATTTCCAAACAAAATATGACAATTAATTACTCTATTTTTAAGTACATATTGTTTTACAATTATTCAACCAATTTAAAAAATAATGTACAGTGTTTACATATTCATTTATTCTATATTTAACCCACAAAGAACAAAATTTTAATAAAACAGTTGCATAGAAGAAATTAGATTATGTGCAAAGACTTTTGACTGTTTCACAAAATAACGTTATTCTCTCTTAACAGCTTTTATTTACTGATAATCTATTGCACATTTTCTCATGTGTTGCATCAAAAATAGCTGTAAGAAGATGAAACAGTAAAAATATTAACTATCATAAATTTAAGTTTTTAGTGCAAATTATGATTAACTCAAATGAATGCAATCATCCATTAATGATTGTAATAATCATTTCTGCTCACATGATGAAAACATCTTTGTACAACATTGCACTGTGCTCATATACAATGTTTTATAGTGCGTTAATAACACTCAACCTGTAAGTTGTTCGACCAACGTGCAAACTTCACAACGCTTCGGTGCAAACCTGCTAATTTTACACCAACTTCATATTTTCTGTTGCATAGACAAATKTAAACAGTGTGTGCAAAATAAAGATTGTAAAAGACTGCTGAGGTTGCTCCAGTCTTATCATACTGGTACATTTTTTTAAATTAAAAATTTCAAGCATTGCAACAACTATTGTAAGGTTTCCAAACAACTCTGGGTAACAAAAATCCATTAACAAAAACATAATCTTGAAACATAAAAAGGAAAAATGTGAAAAGAAGTGATTGTAATAACACAAAATTGAACGTTTCTTATAACTGGACCACATAATTTTGACAAATTGAATTTCTTTAGCTAAAAAGAAACATTTTGAAATCGTGATTTCTAAAATATCTATTGATTTTCCCGGTGTTTTAGAATTTATTTACATTGATATACATAAATCTGGGCTAAATGTGTGCGTGAGAAGTAAAGAGATCATCTCGGTTCTGACCCACATTAAAAATCTAATGCAGATGTTTCCTGAACGGCTGTGCAGAGCAGCAACTTAAAACACGAAGTGTTTTCTCCTTCGCTCTGGTTTTTAACCTTGGGATGACCAAGGTACAAAGTTCTTGTATTTTCTGTCATCGTTCAGGAGACGATGCTCACAGGCACAAACGTCAGAGCAGCTGTCCCAMCTGACTGTCTGAACCGTCCGCCTGAAGGAGGCCTTCCTTCTCCAGGTTGGTGACGTCGCTCTGGTGCCGTCTTTCAAATGTCATGACCCGAAACTTCATTCAAATCGGAAAACCTGAAATAAAAAAGGTTAAAGATATTAAATAGACCAACAAGGTTTGGGTAAAACACATCTGTGTACATTTTAGATTTTCTTCAATTTTTTTGTCAACAATAACATAAATTCAGTATGAAAGTCATCTCTTTGTGATTTTCATTCAGATTTTTGAGCTATACTTGAGTTGCAAGCTACGGAGCTCTGCAAGCGCCAGGTGTCAAAATAAAACAGAAGTTAAGGAAAAGCCATCATCCCATCAGATAAGAAATGAAAGGTTTCAGGTTTAGTGAAAATAAAAGCATGGATTGATCTTGTTAAAATTGCAAACTTCATCTTTGCTCGACATCCAGAAGGTAAACAAGATGCTACAGCCTGATTTTAATCCAAACAAGACTTGAGAAACTGTCTACAGAAGTAAAAAATAATCTAAAATTACACAAACCGACACATTTAACGGTTGATATAAAACATAATAATTTAATATTATTGATTTTTAAAATTACAGCAGAAGCTGCCTTATTAGATTATTTCTAAACCCTCTTTTTTTGCACACAGTGTTGTATTTATTCTGGTTTCCTCATTTAAAAACACATTTCGGTTTTATTTTGTCTCTTTTAGTGCTCCATACAGATCATTAAAAAAGCCTCTTGTTTTTATTTTTTCCATAAACKGTTATATTTCACATAAAGATATCTCAACCTGACGTTTTTTTGTTAAGCAAAATAAATAAGGGGGGCTTAATCTGGGCTTGATTTATCCCAAAGCTTGTGTTACTGTTCAGTGTACTGAATGCACACAATCAAGCCAGACACACAAGGTGAAATATGCCCCCGAAACCCCCAGAACACCAAACTCCACAGCAGTCAGTCTAGACACAAGCTGCTCCTCAAATCATCCCACCTCCTTTTCTTCCTCCCCCCTCTCATCCCGCCATCATTGTCTGAGCCCCCAAAGTGGTTTTTTTCCCACGCTATATTTTTCTCTGTCCTGTTTGCAGCCGAGGAGGAGGCTGCGGTGGTGGGGTAGTGATGGGGTAGCCATGGAAACCCCACATTGGTGTGCCCCTGATTGGAGAATGCGGTGGCTAATTATTCAGTGCATATGCTTAAAAAAAACAATAAAGTGGGACGTATTTAAATGCAGAGCCAAGCACGGCGTGGCGTGGGATTAGCGTTCGAACCCAAAAATCCCTCCTCCGAAGGAGACGAGGACATCGAGGATGTGAAATTTTAGCGAACGTTAATTAATTGTGCACGGTCCCCATAAATGAATGAATAAAATGAGACGAATTAAAGACATTCTACACAAGATTAGAAGCATTTGAAAAATACGGTGATATTTAAGAAAAAGCATAAGTTTCTTTTTGTCCTTGCTAAAACTTTTAGCGTTACATATTAAATACATAAAATTAATGCGTTGTCATTAATTAAGGTTTGCATTGAACACATGAGATTTATAATAAATGAGATGGGCAATCTGTGTTTTTGGGGTTTTCTGTTTAAATTTATGCATGTGTGTATGTGTGTGAAGGGGGGGGGGTGAAGTTAACAATGGTCAGTATTGTTTATCAATCTCCCTCGTCCATTAATCAGGACGATCCGGCTCTAATTGGCGTTTTGGTTAAGCTGCTCTCCAGACCTCAGTTCCCTCCACTGGCCTAAATAATGGCGTTACGCCACAAGTGCCGCCACACATTGGGGAGGACAATGTACCGCTTGTCTGAGGGTCCACGATGGGATCCCCACCCTCTTTTCCTACTGCCCCCCTGCTCCCTCCCCAAAATAAACCTCACCGAGGAACACAAAGAAGGCCTCACACTATTGAGATCTCACTGTCGCAGCCTCCTTCTTCTTGTATGTC